CCACTTTCTTATGATAGCCCCATCACAGCCACAAACACCTCAGGCATGAATCTAAAACTTATAATTCTTCATAGTATAATAAAACATTTTCTCTTTGTGCTATATGCTGTTGCAAATTCTTAACTAATAGCTCTTCTTTATAGTGCCTTTTTGGTTTTTTTCACAAAGACACTGAAATGCCAGAAGCAAACATACCATCTATTCTCACTGTCTTATACAACACCTATAATTGACAGTAACCAATTAGAACCTTCTAATCAACATCTCTACTCTGCCGCTGGCAGCACACTCCACACAACAGTTCTGACAACAGACTACCCACTCTTCAGAATAGATACAAGAAGTGGTCATAAAAGCTAAAAAACTGTACAGAAGTCTTTGTTTACTTGTTTACTGTTGTTCATGTTTCATATCCCTTCACACACAACTGCACAATCACAGAAATGTGACCACACGTGATCTTTTTTGTTCGAAGCCAACTCCAGTACATTGATATTGCCTTTCTTCTTTGCATGTCCCACTCTATATTCTATTTGTGTTCTGGTCCCACACCTCTTGTTCAGATCTTTTGTTTTCATAAGTTTGACCAACTACTAGCATTTTTTTCTTTAAATAACAGTAGTATGCCATAGGTGATGACCATTTTGGGCTAATCACTTTTGTAAAACCTGTTTGTGGTTGTTTGTTTTGGTTTTTTAATTATTATTTGGGTTTGGTTTGGTAGGTATTTTTGTTATTTGGTTGTTGGAGTTCATTTTGGGAGGCGGGGTTTGGGTGTTTTGGTGTGTTATTTTTTCAATAAACAAGCCATTATTACAAACTACTTCATCAAACTGGACCTAAGGGGCTTTCTTCCAACACTCAGGAGACAAGTCTCCTCCCACATTCTAAAAGATACCCATGCACAGATTTTTTGGAGGAGCAAGGTAAACCATCACAGATATCCAGAAACCACATTTGTTAACAATGTATACCATATATCACTGTCTCTGCTGACAACTGTCATGCACTACAAAGCTCCTAGTTATTACTAAGAACTGAGATATTGTTATACTCCACCACTTCAGTCTTACCCCAAAATACTGGTTGACAAGATTTGAAAGATATACAGCATGCCTAAACTATCCAATAATGAACAATTTAAATCTTTTGCAGAGACAGGACATAAATCAATCACTTTTTCAGTGAAAATGAAGTTGGCAATACATCCATTGGATGGCAAAATTTCCTCTTTAGAAGCACTCAGACCTTGTGTCTGCAAGGTCAAGCACGTTGAGAAAGATCTATTGGACCACGGGTACTAATGATGTCAAAGTGGTAAAACTGAAACAAGTGTCCTGTGGCCTATATCTCTTTCTCCCTTCATGAGAAGGAATTTCTATTGCCAGAGATTCTTTTTTAATCTTGTCCCCCCTCTCAAGTTCACTACATCTTTGTCAAGGCTATAAATGCTGGAGCTCGAGAGTAAAATTAGGAGCAGCATCTTGACTTCTAGTTTTGGGTTTTGTGGTAGCCACATTGAAATGCCTCTATTATTAATACTTAATTAGTCTCAACAAAAATATACAAGATAGGACTGTGCCATACAGCTACAGCTTCCAGCAAAATCTGTCTTGCTTTGATACAGATGAGAAGAATGTCCACTTTGTGAATGCACACGTAGATGAGGGAGACCATCATCGTTAGATCTGCTGCAGTTTTTAGTGAATACCTGCCATGATTATGCCATAAAGGGCAGCACACAGCATATTAACACACTCATGCCCAAACCAAAAAAGAGCATGTTTAATGGGTTCACATACTTTCCTATCTGTCATCCAAAGTTGACAGCTTGCCTGACAAAGGCCATGGGTGGTTAAGCAGGGGCCACAAAGTGTGAAATTTCCTTTGCTGGGCAGCCGAATTTGATGATTTGGAAACAAAGGGTGATCTCATGACAGGAACAAGAAAAAAAACACCCACCCAGGATTCAATCTCTTCCCTACAAAGTAACAGTCTGAAATAGAATAATATCAGGAATTTCTCCCCCAAAGCAATAGAAGTTCAGCTGACCCTAAGGCCACAAGGCACTGGCCTTAAAAGCAGCTCCCAGGATGTATTCATATCCAACTCTGCAATCACCAGCTGACTCTGCAGCTGTTCCAAAAGTTAATACAAGAGAGTGACTCTGGCACTGATACTCCCTACACATGAAAATTACTATTGAAATAAGAAAAGTTGGGAAACAGAGAAAAGATACCAGATGTTGTTCACAACATACAGGGGACATACAAAATGCAATACAGTTCAGAAAGTTCGTATTAAGGCTAAAACTAAAAAGTTTTTATTACTAAGAAGGAAGCATAAGTAGCAAGATGGATAACTCAAAAGTACTTGCAGTGTGGATTTTGCGTACCTGGGAAGCCAGGACTCTGCCAAATTGGTTTTTACTGGTAGGTCATGATCAAAGGGTTCATTCCAAAGCTGCCTGCCTGCAGTGCAAGACCAGTGCTCTTCAATTGTGGGAATACATACAGCAATGACGAAGAATTTGGGTTTAAACAGCAAAACAAGCTGACATACAAGCATAAGAAGGATCTCTTTTTGTAAACAAGGATACAGAAGAGTCTACATAATCAAAACATCTGAGAAACTTACAGACATTTGGAGTGCAATTCTTTTATTAATTCCAAAACAGAATGCTACTATCTTTTAAAGCCAAGATGAAATTAGGAGACAATATTTCAACACAATTAGCAGTGTTACTTGGTTAGTACCAGAAAAGAGCACTCTCACTTGGCAGGCAAGAGGTTAAGTGTACAGCTGTGAGCATCAAGGAATTTTCAAGTGCCAAGGGAAGAAAAGAACACAGAAGCTGAGGGGACAGATGTTGCCAAAGAGCTCTAAAGGGAAGAAAGACTTCAGACTAGGACTCTGTCCCACAAATGCCACAGTTGGACAAATCTAATTTTATTCAGGAACCATTAAGAAGAAAGAAATTGTTACAGATCAATACAAAACAGCTGTTCTAAAATGTTAAAATTATTTAAGCAAAAAATTACTTTCCCCTTTCCTCTTCTTCCCAACATCATTTATTTTATTTTTCTTATGTTCACAGTGCATAATAATAGGGAGAAGCTTATTGCAAGATTACAGTAGTAACTCAGGGATTAAGATTTAAAAAAGCATGCACTACAGTAGTGGTAAAGTGAGTTTTTTCTCCTCTTTCCACCAATCTTCATATAAAGCTTTATTTAAATGTTATCAATCTCAGCATTGGTTAATCACTTTCACAATTCTTTTACATTAAATCAGTCCCCCTTTCTCAACAAATGGTGGAAGGTGACGCCAATCCAAATGAAGCAATTATGTCAGAAACCAAGTCAAACCATTTTCATTTTTCATTTACTGTAACCATCTTTAAGTGTGATTAATCAAATCAACCTTCTCTTTCTAGGCAGAGCTGTAATTGCTAAATGCAAATTAAAGCATATTATATATGACATGTAATACTTAATCTGAAGACAAATTTTTATTAAGGTTTAAGTCAAACTTTGTTAAATGAGTTAAAGATACCCACTGAATATATCTTAACATTACATACATGCCCTATGAGAAAAGATATGAAATATAACAAAAATACTTCAAGCACCATAGATAATCCAATTGCTTTGGCAAAAAAAAAACAAACACAAAGAGTAACAGTAATATCATGTTTGCAAGAATAAACAGAACATCTTCACAGATTCTGTCATGCACTTTAAAAGGCGGTAGCAGATAATTCTAGGATCTCAAACAATTCTTTTTCAGCATAATGTACAATAATCATTCACAAAGATAAAGCAGAACTACATCCATTATTGAAGTAAGCTGATAAAATTTCAATTATTTTAATAATTGTTGACAACAGCTGTGAAGCCCATTGCTATTGCTGTCCCCTAAGCAAAGAGAGGCAAGCAAATCACCCCAGTAAGGAATCGAAAGGATGAGAGTTGATATTCTAATTCAATACCCTAATGTTTATTTTACCCTCTTAATTTTGTATCTATTGAATATCATATCAATGTTTTCTGATGTGATGAAATACAATTCCTTGTCCTGCTATGTGTGTAACTGTGAACCTATTTTATTAACAAAATCTGGAACAGAACAACATTGCCTCAGAAATGCAAAGAGGAAAAAGCAGGTTGCAGAATCTCTGAAAAACCTGAAAATGTAATAAGAAAAAAAAAATTCCAAAGCAAATCTACAAAACATGACGCAGGGTGTTGCTTTTGTAGGGTTTGCTACCTACAGAAACATGCTGTGGGATATCGCTTTAGTTCAAAAAGAAAAAAAAAAAAGGTATTTGGGGACATAGTAACAGAATCCATCTTCAGTGCTGAACAGTCAAAATGTAACATATTAAAGGATGTAAAATTATGAAGAGTTAATCAATTGCTTTTGGGATAGTATTTTTCCTCTAAATAATCCTCCACAGAAAGCATTTGCCTCACTTCTAACAGACTTTATTGTTTATGTTACAGAACAGCTAATATATTCTGTATTAGCAATGGAACATTATTTTTTATATATATGTAACTAATTAAAAGACATCTATTCAGCGTCCTGTGCTTTAAGTACACCATCAGTCCTCTTAAAAAATCTTACCTGAAATAACTGCACTGTTGCATATTACAGGAAAAGATGTGTTCTATCAGAAAACACGTTTTCTACCCAATTCACATTACAAGCCATCCATTTAGAATGTAAGCACACTTGTCAGGAAGCCTATGACATCCCCCACTGAACAGCATAGTCTGACAGATGCTATAAGGGGTCTAGCAGTTGTATGATGACCAGCCAGCTGGCTGACACTATACCAAACAAGATAGAGGAGAGGAGAGGTTAGAGATAGGGAGAGGCTCCCCTCTCAACAGGGAGAAAGTACTGTTTCAATTCCTAGTTTCAGCAATCACAGAATAGGAAATCTAGCACCTTTGGGAACCTTATTTTATTTTCCAATCTGACAATTGGCCAATAGCTTCAGAAATTATTTTAGGAAGAGGAAGATGCATTTGACAAGTCAGCTGACAGATAGAGAGCAAGCCTTTGACCTCTACTTCACCATGTCTGAAAACCAGGATGAAATGTCCTTGTGGATAAAACTCATGTAATCCAAGTGTGAATTTGTTCTACTCAATTCTCATTTTTCGTTCAGTAAGAGCAGTGTTTCTTCCAGGATGAACATATCCAAACCACCTGCACAATGAAGAATAAAGTAGAGATACTAAAGGTAGATTTCAAGAAGCCTTTGCTGCTAGGAGACTTCTGGGTGTGAAAACTTAACACAGACTTACCTATTCCACTGAGCAATACCTAGACTCTGTCTGGTACCTGAAATACCTTTTTTTAACTTAATTCAAGGCACAACTTAAACCACCATGCAATTATTACGCATCTCATTTGTTTTTCCCATTAGTTGTCGAATACTATCTCTAATTGGCCATCACTAGTTTAAAATATTGTTACAAAGCAGAAACAAGTTTATCACCTAATTCCATCCATGCTGCATTCCTGTAATTACATACATTTCAAATTACCAATTTAATATCTCATCCCACTTGTACTCACCTGGCATGGGCAGCAGGGTATGAGGAAGGGGAAGAAGAGAAAGACAAAAATGTGAGAGAGGAGAAACAAAAAGGTGCAGTACTGTAACAGACCTGTACCTCTCCAAACATGGCAATACAGCACTTCATAGTCTGCCTTTGAGTCCAACAGTAAACACACTTCTGAAATCAGGAATTTTTAAATGCAGCTTCTCTTGTACTGTACATTTCTGGCAGATACACATCTAACTGCCTTTACTACTTGTTTTTTTCCCCCATAAACAGTCATCTTTCATAGCTAGTCATGTTGAAAAATGTTTCAAAGTTAATAAATGCTATGAAAGTCATGTGAAGTTCACTCACAGAAAGCAATCTAACAGCTCACCACAGCAGGCAACACAGGGTTTTCTTACCAGAAGTTTTAGCCTGGACACATGTTCAGTGACATTACCCACTGCAGAGCTGCTCCTCCTGTTTCACTTTTAAGATGAGGAGAACATCCTCCCCCACCCAAGCAGTGTTCAGGAACCAAAGCTTAAACCATGTTTTTCAATCATGAAAGAATTTTCAGAAGCTGTCAATCATTGGAATGACACTTTATATGCACACTATGCTATTATTTGCTGTACATATAAAAGTATTTCTAATCCTCCGGAAAAGTTTTCCTTTCATGACACAGTCTACCACAACTGCTATTTGTACTATTTCACAGATTGCCACTTTTTGCTTAAACATACCCAGACACCTCACGAAATCCCTGGATTTACAAAGTTTTCTTTAAAGCTGCCTTAATTACAGGAAGGTTTGAGGCTTTTTTAATTAAGAGTTAAGAGAAGCTAAGGACAAGATGATTAGTAGTCACAACATTAATCTTCTTGCTGTACCTAACAACTTCATTTACTGTTTAAGACACAAACCCTTGTGGAGTTGCTGTTCTATTGAGCTGACGTTGATGTACTTGCTAGGAAGTTACTTCTACCTCTTATGTTCTCCTCTGAGATGTAATAGATGGGCTCTCAGGAAATTGAATCTGATAGGAAACACTCTCACTGACTTCACTGAGCTCTTACAGGGCTAAAACAGAAAAATAAGGTTCACAAGTGACAAAGGAGCCCAACGTGTTTAATCTACATACAGAGACTTCTTTGACAGTGGAAAAGAATTCCTGCATCAGCAACAAGATTTAGAAAATATACTGTCTGTTAATATTATCATTATCACTTAATAAAGGTTTATTTTAACAATTTCCAGGACAGTCTTTACATACACTGCTTTCATCACTGGAAAGGAATGGCACCACTCATACAATACACATTAAACAGCAGACTCCAATCCTTAATTTCCCAGCACAGTTGAGCAGCTTCATGCTACATTAGTCTGGCAATGCTAAAAGAACCCAAAAATAGAGATATTTTTAACCTGGACTGTCTAAGCCTCCAAGGAAATGAGGCTTAGGCAGTCCCTCATCTGTTAACTTGTCACATTTAAATTCTAAACTTGTTGGCAAATTTCAACTAAATTTGATAAAGAGTTTGGACACTCAAAGATAATTAAGTTCCTGTGAATTCTACAAAAACTACAATCTCTACGAAAGAAACACCTACATAATGCTCATAGGTGAAGGCAAAAGAGTTTTGACACAATAATTGAAATAAAAACACTCAGCCTGCATGTGTGTGCATTTAAGTATATATCATGTGTGTATGTATATTTGAGTATATAAACATTGTATACATTCAAAACTTTACTGGACAACCCAATCTAGACAGCCCTGCTTGAGGAAAGGGGTTGAACTAAATGATCTTTCCTGTCCAACCTACAAAATTTTTGGGTGGGATGACGGGGTCTTGTGTGCATGGCTTAGAGAAGCCATACCAAATGACATCAAACAGGGATGCTAGAAAAGAAACTCAGATTGAAGAGGAAGAAGACCTCCTTGGAAAGTGAAGGGCATAAATCCAAAGACAACTGAGCTTTAGCATTTATGATATTAAAGATCCTTTTTCTTCAGTGACCGTCAGAACTTCACTGAAGACTTGTCATTTCACTGTTTATATGCTACTGTCAGAAATCATCTCCAGTGATACAAGCTACACAAATGTGATTACACTAATGTAAAACATACTTTTGATAGCAAAGACCATTCCTCTAACCTTTTACATTGATGTGAATGTACCCATAGGAGGAACTATTCTGCAAAACAGTATTTCTGACTACACAGACAAACAGGACATATTGTGAAAGACTTAACAATCATGATGGACAAATCTTAAAAGCAGGTTCCACATGAAAGAAAAGCAAATCCCATCAGGCACTATTAACAAAAAAAGCATCTTTCAGTGTCCTTCACAAAAAACTCTTAAAGACACAAGACTGCTACAGTGTAAGAGTAACTAGGTGCTTGGATAGATAACTTTATGAAGGCCACAAAACCAAAGAAAAGACAAGGGCAGTAGCTACTCTGGAAACACATTGCCTAGCAGTATTTGTGGGAATCTGCTCAGATCCACTGTACTGTACTCTGCTATCAATGGACAATCTAACGATCCAGCAGCAAGAGCAGAGAACATCATGCTCTGGTATAAATCCATGGAACAACCACATTTGCAATACTCTGGGCACTTCTGATTCCTCTTATCACAAAAAAGATGTAAATGGGAAAGTTACTGAGAAGGACAGCAAGCACCTTGAAACACATGGAACAGATTAATCTGGGGAACCATTACAACACCCGGACTCCTCAGTCCAGAAGATGAGGTAACTGAGATATGACAGTAATTTATAAGATAATGAATAGCATGAAAATGGAGACAGAACAACTGTTCAGTGCACCTTCCAATTTAGTAACCAAGGAAATGAAGCTAATATGTGTCAAATTCATAGAGGGCACTCCTCGCTATTTTTTATTCTTGCTCAAGTACTTGCAACAGAGAAGTTTCATATGTTTAAAAAACAACTGGATGTGGGTTTTTTGGACTAAAACTTCTGCAAGCTATTTAAAAAAAAAACAACACAAAACAACACCCAACAAAAAACCCCCCAACCACAAGAGGCTAGGAGAGTATTCTGGGATCTTTGTCCAGCAACAACAAAAAGTCACTATCCTATTGCCAACAGGAGACTTTAGATTAAGTCAGTGCAATCATTTGTATATTTTACTGGCATATTTCAAGTAGAAAGCATTGGGGTATGGACCATCTTCAGACACTTTGGCAATGCAAGATCCTTTAATTTTGTTCTAACCTTCAAAACTACATTCACCATATTCAGAATAAGACAAAAAAAGGTTTGTGCCCAACAAAGACACAAAGAAACTTGGCTTTCATATGTGACTAATTCAGAAGACAGACTACTGGTGATTATTTATATCATCCCAGATTTCCATAAAAATCTGTATATTACACGTAAGTCTTTATAATGAGTTCCTATTACATAACTGAGCTGTGTGATCAACTTCAGAAGCCATCAAAAAACTAACCTCAGCTCTTAATATGCAAAGCAACACTTCAACTATATTTCTTTGGCCTTAACTTTAGCGTAGGTGGGGAAGAATCAAAGTAGTAATATAAGTGCAGTGTCCCAAATTTGCACCTTTTTCCTAACATATGCAGCATAGACATAATACCATGGAATGCAATACTTTAGAATCTTCATATATTTTACATTAACAAAGTAAGGCAGTTAAATGAAAGTCCAATAGAGTAAAGGTACCTAGAGGCAAAGAGAAGAGGGTAGCAAGGGGCAGCAAGATATGATTGTATTATGTATCCCAAATGACATGAATTTTTTTTGTTTGCACTTAATCTTACTATACCCTCCTTCCCAAGCTCTGAATTTCATTTATCACTGTATGCTGATAACCTGGCAACAGTGGCAACACTTTCATATATTTCTGTGCAAGAACAATAAAAACAAGATCCTTATTAAGGTTTCTTGAGGGGGAGAAAAAGAATAAAACAAAACAGTAATTTATATTATTCTTATTTTTCATCAAATAGAAAGAGAATTCGTTCCACAGAAACAGAATATTCAAAGTTTCCCTTGGGGCAGGAGGGGGAATGTTACTAAAGTGGAGACAAAGTGGTTGCTTTGCAGTCTGCCATAACAGGTTAACCAAAGTTTGAACTGTGAAAAGTTAAAGTTAACATAATACATGTCTTACAAGATGAGAGAAAAACTGAAAAGAGTTCTGAATTATCTTTTGGGGAGATATAGATATTGCTATTTTAAATAAAGCTTTTCATCAAGAACAACTTCTGAATCAAAACAATTCTTTCAAGAACATGAACCAAAATCTGCCTACAGAGCAGAACAATATCTGTAACAGATATTATTTCCATATTTTTTGAAGAGGTTAAGTTAATAGTTTCTCTCTAATACAAAAACAAGAGGAATAGAATTTGAATAGTATCTCAGACTCCCTGCATGGCACCCAAGAGTAGAAGAAAGAACAAAATCGTCATTGCTATGAAGAAAAATGTATTGAAAATATGCTAAAAAATTAAGCCATACAGTGAAGCTGTTTAGGAATATAGACTGTTCACTGTCTTAAGATCTGTAGGTTAACTGTTGAGTTCCATAGCAATAGCTGAGAAACTCCAGTTATTTTTACAGAATACCTTCAGAAATAAACCTCCAGAAAAATATACAGAAAGTAATTTCCTTTAATATTGCAACAATGGCAACAACCAGTATTTCCTCTGACATTTAGGGAAGGTAGAATTTAACAAATTCCTGGGACAGATAAGAGTATTTTATTTTTAAGCAGTATTTGGTCTTCTCACAGCTATGCAATAGAGACTTCTGTATGTATTCTTAACATACTCAAGTCAGTGTTGTGTATGAGCATATCTACATAACCATTTAACTGTTCACAGACTGAGCATACTCCAATATTTGATCAGCAGTGTGAGAAATAAAGAATCGATTTTATTACAAGCAAATGAATTTAGCAAATCACTAACATAAGAGTTTTTCTTTACTAACCTATAGGGCGTATCGCGGAGTTGTAAGACGCCAGATTCAGCCTGGAACCGGTGTCAGGGAAACATGCAAACAGGAATAGGGAACTATAAATGAATATTGGTAAGGAAACCCCTTATACCACATGGCTGGTCCTGGAAGCTGCCGTGCTGCTGGACACTCCACCTCCCAGCACAACACAGCCAACCAGAAAGAGAGGAACGCCTCTTCTATGACGTAAACGGGGTTGAACCTGAAGAATGTTTAAAAAGCGGGACTTTTGAATTGAAGGGTGTGTTCCTGGGAATCCTGCATGCCTAGGACACCCAACACGTGTTGTAATTTTTCCTTTTCGTTTTGTTCCTTTTGTTTTGCAACTTTTGCCGTCTTTCTAAATTCAATAAATGAGATTTTTTTCTCTCAAGCAGGTAGAAGCTGTGTACTCAAATTACTATACACACAGACATACAAATATATGCAACTAGTCAAAAGACAGCTTTCAAGTGTCTTAATGATTTGCATATTAATGTGCATGGAGATGGTGTTCGGCAAACGTCTTCATTTTTAGCTGCTGGGTCTTTTACCAGGTTTTTTTGGCACTCAGGACTACTACTCAGACAAGGTCTCGTAACACCTTAGGATGAGTTTTGATGGCACATAATCACTTCTGGATAGTAGCATATATACCCAGTCCTGAAGACTATATTTTTTGCTTAGAAAATCAGTCCAAGAATACCTGTCACAAGACAGCTTGAACAGATTTAGAGCCTTCACATATTCTGAAGGCAGGCTAAAGAAACTTTGTAAAGTACTGAATTCCCAAGGGAGAACCAGGTACATCATACTCAACCATTCTTTTGGCTGCTGCCAGTGACACAGCAGGCATTGGACAGAGATGCAATTGCATCCACCATTCCCCTATTAGCAGAGGCATCACCTTGCTCTTTGACTTGACTTGACAGAGAAGAAACTTAACCTCTCCTCTGCAATGGCTACTATCTCTAGTTTCTAAGCAAGGATCATGACACATGACAGGTCCTGGGAATGATGGAACATACCAAGCGTTGAAGCTTACACTACCAGCCCATAAGGCCACAGAGGACACCCATGATGTCAAGACATGCCCTTTATCTTCACAGTTACTCAGATCCATACAGCAGTGTATGAATTATTTCTTCAAGGTTGGGATCAGCATCAGTACTAATGTTAAGATGCAAAAAGCCCTCCTGGTACAATGGAAAGGGGGATAAGAATTGACTGGAGCCACTTCAGCTGCCCTTTTAGGAGTCCCCAGCACCCAAGGAGTGATTGCCAGAGAATTTATAACGCAAGCACTGACGGCCACAGGCCAAAGTACACCATGAAACAGGGCTCGTCTGCTGCAGTTTAGGCCTGTTCAAAGTCTTTGAGGGAAAAAAAGCAGGAAGAGAGCCTCATGAGACTGCTAGCTAGCTGGCACACACCAAGTTTATGGGCTATTCACATTTCAAGCAGAGGCAAGTGTGTAGGTGGGTGGGTGGACACTGCTGTGCCTACGCACAGAGTAAGTATGTATGTGTGTAGGCTGGCACAAGGGATAGCGGTCAAGCACAAAGAAAGAACAACCCCGCACACACTAACCCAGAGGTAACACAGGAATTTTTAGCATACCCCTGAAAAATGGGTCAATGTAGTGAGTGTGTTCTGTTACTGTGATTTAGGTAACAGTTCAGAAAAGGTTGTCTTCCAGCATCAGTTTCATGCCAAGTACTTCACAAATTAAATTAACGTAATTTGTTTGAAAACAGTGTTGATACACATGATCACCTCCTTTAAAAATCAACTCTGTGTTAAATATATTCAGTGTTAAAGATAATCTGTTATTCACATATATCAAGTCCTTCATAAAAAAGCATGGAAATATCTTTGAGGGAAAGAGAGTCTGTTTATCAGAATCATCATGGCTAGGCTTCGCGAATGAAGATTCTGGAAGGACTCTACCCACACTTGCTACAAGCATGCTGGTGGCTTAGAAAGGTTAATGAGAGATAGACAAGTTCGGTTACATTATCAGAATAAGAAACCCTTAATAAAAATACACAACTGAGCTTTATGTGGTGCAACACAAGTAACAGATGCAGGTCACTGTGTCCTTCTCAACTTTGTAGTTTCAGCTTCAAAAGTGAGTTTTCAATATACAAAAATTAGTTTGAGGACATTCCTGTATTGCCTCCTTTAACTCACTACACTTCCTGATTCAGGGGATACTGTTCATCATATAGAGCAGACCACATCATTACAGAAAGACAGAATCATGGAATCATTGAGGTTGGAAAAGACCTCCAACATCATTGAGTCCAACCTTTGACTGAACACCACCATGTCAACTAAACCATAGCACCAAGTGCCACGTCCCGTAACTTCTTGAACACTTCCAGGGACAGTTACACCTCCCTGAGCACCTCATTCCAATGCTTAACCATACTTTCAGTGAAGAAATTCCTCCTGATGTCCAACCTAAACCTCCCCGGGCACAGTTTAAGGCCCTTTCTTCTTGTCCTGTCACTAGTTCTCTGGGAGAAGAGGCCAACTTCTCACCTGGATACAACCTCCTTTCAGGTAGATGTAGGGAGCGACAAGGTCACCCCTGAGCCTCCTCTTCTTTACATTACAGATCCCCAGCTCCCTCAGCTGCTCCTCATATGACTTACTCTCTAGTTCCTTCACCAGTTCTGTTGCCTTTCTCTGGATATGATGTTCAAACTGGCCAAGAACACTCCAGGAGATGCTTTAGAGCAAAATGGTCCCTGTCAATAAAACCTGTGCATATAGATAGCAGCTACTCAACTGAGCCCATAATACTATTGCAGGTATTTGTCACAGCATTAGTCATATACAACAGTTAGTAATTTTAGTAAAATTCTCACAATTATTTCTGTATTTAGTTTTAGTCCATGTGCACTATACACACATTGCTTGTACTCTGTAACCATTTGGTTATAATCTGTTTTAAACAACAGCATGTAATAGACAACATGGTAAAGACCTACACATGGAATTTACTTAGATGGCCTAAAAGTGGAATGATGAATAACAAATCAATAAGCTTTTGGACTAGATAATCTCCATCACAAGTCAGATCAACTTAACCCATCTAAAAAAAAGCACAAGACTTCCAGGACTCTTTCCACACCAATTAATGTATTGAATTTGGAGTCATTTTTATATGTGAAGATGTTATTGAGGTCGTAAAACCAATTTAACTTGTGCTTGGAGATAAACTGTTGCTTACATCACCACCTCCTTTAAAAATAAAACCAACTTTAATTCTACCCACAGACCCTCCAATTGTTCCTAACAATAGCAAAGGCAGCACAGTAATTGTGTGAGAAGTCAGGAAAAAAAAGGAAGAGTGAAAGGAAAAGAGGTAGCATTTTACAAAGAAAATCTGTGCAGAAACTCTTCTTAGAAAGAGAAAAAAAGTAATCAAAAAAAACTGGTTTGCCTGACATCAGTTTTTAGTGACCTGATTCTCTTTGGAATACATGATCTTTAAAAGGTAACTTATCATGTGCTCAGTTCTCCTTTTATCTAACAATACACACAAGCAACAGTCTTTTGAAACTTTTACAGAAACACTGTCAGGTACTTAGTTCCTACTGAAGACAAAGTATTGAACTACACAAAAGAATATCAGCATGATAGAAGTTCTATAGGTCTTAACTTTTGGGGATAACATAAAGGCAGGAATAAATAGCCACAGTAAAGAGGAAGTTACAAAAAAGGATGCTTGCAAGCAAAGAGATCTTACCAAATACAAAAGGATACAATACATACTGGACAACAGTTCAAATCAAGCATTAAAACAGCCGAGTGCATTCCAAATTTTGTTTGGGGAAGGGTTTTGCCTATTACCAGTAATATGTAATAACTAACAAATTTCATTAATAATTGACACATGATAAAAAGCTTCTTACTGAAAAACATGTAAAGCCCCAGCATGGGTAACCTTACATACTTTAAAACGTATCATTAATTGTGTTAATGATTGTATTGATTTAAATAAGGATTTTGACAATACCATCTTAGCATACAAGGTCAAAAGACATGTTGCTCCTGACTTCAGTCAACACATGAATGAGTTAAATCTCAGAGAAAAGGATGACAGAAGGGAAGGGAATACTACTGTTAAATTTAATGTGTCAATGAAGAAAACGAACAGGTAACTATTATCATTCTAGTTTACTTACCTTCACATTTAGGCCACAAGTTCCACCAAGATGTAGAACACCAAAGAGTACTGGAGGAGTCCACACAGGAGGACTCAGGACATTAGATGAACTGTTGTGTTGTTTTCTTTTCTTTACTAGTGGTATTAAAAGTGGTGGGTTTTTTTCTCCTGCACCCCAATGGAGTGTGCACGCATCCCACTTTGGTTACCACTGGTCACCAGTACTAAGCCATCTCTTACCTAAGTGCTACTCCCTCAGTGAAACAAGGAGAAAAGGGCTGCATATTCAGCAATCCAGGACATTAAAGAGCTCAATAGAGGCAGGTTTCTTATTCTGCAGAAACAACCTTGAGTGGTACTCAACCACAGCTCAATAACTGTACAAGCTGACGGTAGAAATTTCTCTTTGCAGCTTTTCTATGACATCTCATATAAGCAAATTATCTGGATTTTTCCAGTCTCTTTTGTTGTGTTCCAGACTTTGTCCCAGATAATGAAGAGGTGATGGTAAGCTGCCTTGCTATTTCAGTCCTACTCATGAACAGCTGGTGTAGAAATACAGGTTGTGAATGCTATTACTCAGCTAGGGTGAAATTACATCTTATAATTCAAGTCACTGTCTTAAAAAAAAAAAAAATCAATAGGCTGTTTCACTATCAACTAACAAATCACTGAATAAAACCCAGAAACCTAATTCCTTCTCACTATTAAAATAATTTCGACTAGAACAGAAATCAAGATTTCTCCCTCTGACACGGACTGCTTAAAAAGTATATCTGCAACAAGAGAAAGGTGAAATGAAAACAGCAGGACTCCTAAGAAAACACACTGAACACATGTCAATTTCCTAGAGAAGAGCTTGTGAAAAAGAGGAGGTATCATTTATCCTCACAATCACAATTTTAATTAAAGTACTCTCCAGTCCCAATTTATTGCAAAAATAATAGTATAGAACAGTTTTGAAGTGTCACCATCTGTTACGTGAAGCCAAAATCAGTTTTAAAGATAGTTTGAGTGCTTAATACAAAACCTAAGACAAGGTGAACCTTCACTGGAATAACCATGACGGTGCAAGGATATCATAGTAAGAATGATTAAATTAAACTTGCCTTCATGGTTGGGTTTCCACCTCAAAAGACTCAGGCTACATAGCCCCACTCAGCCTTTTCAGCTGTGAAATCTAAACTGACTGGTCAAGTACAGCTGTCACACAAAAACTGAGCTCCAGAACCAAATGCAAACATGACATCCCAAGCCCAGGAATTAACGGTAACAAAATCCGGGTCCTTTAGGCACATCCAGTATCTCCAAAGTTCATAGAAGGCAACTCTTAGCACTTAGTTCCTGCTATGCCTAAGCTCTAAATGATTGTCTCTTTTTGGTTGCTTCCCACAATGATGATGGCAGCAAGCTCAAGTCGGGACATAGAAAGTCCAATAACAGTAACTAGAAGGACCATCTATTTGGACTTACATAATTTTTTTTTTTTAGGTTTTTTTTTCCCCTCTAATCTCAATACCAAGTTACTCTACTTAAAATTTCAGATTCTTTCCATTTAATGCATAATTCAGAAAGTGGAGTCAGTGGTAGGAAATTAGGTAACTTATATCTATTCCCACTGCTGCTTTCTCCTAACCTGTGTGCGTATGAATAAATATATGAAGTCAGTCAAAGGGAAACAGCAGCCCCCAAACATCCACTGCTTCAGAACTGCATTACCTTTGGTTGCACCTGACTTCACGGGAGAAGTGTGTCCCACCACAATTCTCATTGTCATGTAACACAACATGGTGGTCTATTTACTGCTGTAGTGGCTCAGCCAGGCCAAATCTCTTCAAATGTGG